TATCACCTACACTGCAAGAATGTCTATTTTATCAAGTTACCAAAATGATTGGCTTAGTTTTTCATTAAAAAAGAAATTATACTGTGGATTTAAACCTCTCATGAAGCTGACACTACTTTTACCTGAACTTAGAATCTACACAGTCAGACCTTCTCAGTCTCAACACTTCCCTTGCTTTGGAGCAAAAAAAAAAAAAAAACTCTATCAGTTAAAATAACATTTTTACTAACCTTTCTGACAACTAGTGTAAAGACAAAACCTTCTTGCTGTAAGGCAGCCAGTCTAATCACTACATTACTGTGCTACCCTCATGGCAAATCTTAATCAACTTCACAAGAATCAACTACAAGAGAAAAAAAAAAGGTCCAGTTGAATGATGTAATATGCCACCTGTTACAAGAGAAAAAAAAAAGGTTCAGTTGAATGATGTAATATGCCACCTGTGTTTTGTTTTCATTTAAAGTCTTCGTCAATGTTTACAGTTTTTTATACTGATTCTGCAGCCATATCCTTAAATGTGCTCATCATTGGTTATTGTTTTGTCATAAAAGAAAAACTCACATTGAAATGAATATCATGCACTGCAGAGATCCTTTGTTGCTCAACACAACCATGTCTATGTCTGGGCAGGGTGAAAGTTTCTTCTGGCAAAAAAGTGAATACCTCTCACCTCACCCTCCGAGGGAGTGCAGTAGAACTTCCAATGGCCTTTGGGTAATAAAAAAATATAAAAACCCCTTTGGGGAAGAATGTTTATTTTACCCATGTGGAATAGTACAGTACAGTACACTAACAGTAAAGATGAAATGACTAATGGTATGACAATACAGTGTTTGGTTCATAGTAGACCAAACATTACTGCAGGTGTGGACAATTTAAATTGACCTGATTAGTCAAACGGTAGCTGTGGATTAACGTTTGATATGATTACACGAGCCAAATATAATTACACTGTGGGCCAGATTTGGCCCCCAGGCCTGAGTTTGACCCACATGTGCTTTAGATCAGGAGGATGAAGCCCCAGTGATTTCTGTGAATGGTGGTTGCACAACGTGGACACTCCTGCTCCCTCCCATTAAAACATGCTGGCTGTCCAATCTGGTCCACTGTTTATTCTAAATGGACCTTTGGTGTGAAAGCGTGGGTGAACGGTTGTTTGTTAAGTACCAGGGTGAATCCTTTGAGTGTCAGTACTTGCCTCAGGTCTGCCACAACCCTGAAAACAATAAAAGATGACGGAATAATTAGTGTTTTAATGACATTTTAAAGTCTATTTTTAAAGTCTTTTTCCTCATCACACCACTTTTGTTTAATGTTTGCTTTCAATAATCTCTCCCGAAGCAGTTTCTGATCATGACTGCTACAACACTTGAGCTGAGCTGAAGTAGCTGATATGTGCAGGGAGCTGGCAGGAGACAGGGCTCAGGGGCAGACGTTTATTAATAAGTAGCTAACTTTAATCAAGCAGTAAATCAAACATAAAACGGAACAAAAAAAAATCACAAGAAAACAAACCTGGAATTCTGTGATACAGAAAACAACACAGAACTGGCAGCAACCACAGAGACAGACAGAGTGAGGGAGAGAGGTTTATACACCCAGGTCACCAGGTGAGGCGGGTGACACTGATTAACAGAGGAGCTCAGGACACAGGTGGACGTGATGAAGCTAATTACCCCAGGAGAGACAGCAGGGGGCAGGGAGAAGCAGCAGAACTACCAACATGTACTGTTGCTTTTGTTGTCAGCTCTAAATGACTGTGTCGTTGCCATTGTTTGGCATTTCCATCGCAAAGACGACGTTTCGGCCGACCCTGAGACAAACAGCATTGGGAAAAGCCACACTCATGGATGGTGTCAATTAAAGTTTATCCTCTGGTTTGCCTGACTTGCTGTAGAAAAAGGCTATGGCTTATTGCTCCCCCCTCGCTCCCCATCTTCCTCCTCCTCCTCTTCACCACATGAAATGGCTGTCTGTGCCAGCCTACCACTGAACCTTCATTAGCTTTTACTACCCCACTTGGAAGTGTTTAGCCCTGTGCTCTTTCTTTTGCTCTGTGGATGTGTGCGTGTGTGCGTGCACACATCTCACCCTCTGTGAGTGTCTATGTGTGCATATGCTTAATTGCCAAACCCCGCCCACGCTTTGGAGGCCCCCCCCCCCATGCCATGCCACCATATCATTACATTGTGGCTGGAATTTAGACTCTCTCTCTCTCTGTCTCTCTTGCTCTCTCTCTCTCAATCATTCACTCTCTCCTTTCCTTTCTCTCTCCCCCGCGCTTCCTTTAACACACACAAACAAACATTTTCCGTGGGCTCCGGTAGATTCCATTTCTTTGGCCCATTGATTCTCTGATAAATTAGGCCCTTTCCCATTAAAACACACAGAGTGACGTAAAGATAATGATATAAAAAAAAAACACAAACACGCACAAAAAATTGAAACATCACAGAGCGTAATGCATCACGACCATCCCACAGCTACGTCTGGTGTTCAAACTGTTAGTGTTTGAACTAAACAAACCACTTATAAACACAAGGCCTCTGCCTTACGAGGCTCATATTTAGGCCCTTCTGTAAACAGCCAAGCACAGAATGAATCAATTAAAAGGGCATTATGTTGGTTCCTGTTTATTTAAAACATGTTTACACTATACGGGCCCTCCCGCCTGTCTGCATGATTGCCTGGAACTTCGTATTCCTCCCCCTGCTGCCACCTCTCAATGAGCCCGGTCACGGCCAAGGTGTATCAAACACACACACACAGACACACACACACACTGTGCAGATTGCAAACACATTTGAAACGCCGAGCAGTCTTGTTCAGTAAATACTGACCCGGTTCTTCTTTCTCTGTTTCTGCAAGAGATGATTAAACGAAATCAGCGGGCGCAGCGATCCTCAGCAGTCGGCCAATCATGGAGCTGAACACAAAATACACAAGCGCATGCAACGGCACAGACACGCACTTTTTTTTTGGATGTTGAGTCAAGTTAGTGCTCATGAGATGGTAAAACAAGATACGGCAGGAAAGATATTTACTAACATTTACTAACTGTTCATATTCCAAAGCCCTGGGAGAGTTGAGCAGATAAAACCTAGAAGGACCGAATATTTATTCCAGAGATTTGTGTGGAATGTCACACTGAAGTCTGTATTTCACTAATACACACCAACGCTAATTCCCTCATTCTTCTCTGCTCTGCTTGGTGCAGAAGTACAAACACACACACACACACACACACACAGAGCACATAGAGTTGACTAATCAGCCCTATTGAATTCCAGAAACAATGGGTGCTCATCCTCGGGCCACCCAGGCAATGAACACACACATGCAGACACACACACACACACATACACATACAAGCATCACTGGATCTTGAGTTCTTTCCATTGTTTTCTTTTATCACCTTCACACAGGTTAGAGTTGGCCCTGGGAGACCCTGTTATCTGGACTATAAAGTGCTATCTAAGGACACACACACACACACACACACACACTTTTGCTGTGACTCTTCAACCACTGCAAGAAATAGAATCCAGAAGTACAGCTCCTTAACTTGGGATTAAAATCATTTGAACAGACTGAAGAATTATATAACAGTAAAATCCTATTGTTCCTTTAAACAAATCAACAGTCTGACGTAATTCTCGTGATATTTTATTTTGACCAGAGTCATCAATAGTTTCCCATGTGCAGCCTATGGGACGTGACGAGTGATACAGAACCCACTACTTCAAATGCAAATTGGTTACTTTAACGTTGTTTTGCTCACTGGTACAAATATTAGACCTGGCACCAGATAATTCACCTTGTTTCCACCACATGGCTGCCAGCATCCGTGTCAGTTTGGCTGAGTCTACAACAGAAAACACTCAAAGGAAAAAAACTGTTCTGATGAATCTACTACAACATGTTTGAGCAGCATTGTTTACTGCTGCGTGTGCACGTGTCGGTGTACGTCCGTGTGGATACGAGTGTATGGCCTGTAAGTGGACTAGCATGACAGTAAGTTCAAAAGGCGCAGGTATCAGATTCAGACATGAACTGCTTTGCTTGAGCTGACAAATGAGACGCCGTTGTGTGTAAAGCAAAGGAATTTACAGCATCTACCTTTCATCTACACAGGTGGGCCTTCCAGTGTGTGTGTGTGGGAGGGCGGGGGGTATGAGCCTGTGTGTGTGTGTGTAGATCTCAGTGTGCTGTATACGCGTGCACGTGCTCGTTATATTTGTCGCATGGCTTGTAAAGAATGTGCAGAGTGTGTATTTTTTGTGTGTGTGTGTATAAGTGTGTGTGTGTTATCCCGCACATGCACAGTGGCAGAAATTTAGACAGACAAGTCACAACAAAGACCCAGAGAGCCAGTGATCCCTGCCTCGTCCCAGGTGCTTCACTGCTCCAGTTCAGTGATTCTATACATCAGGTCATTGTTCACAGCTTGGAAAAGTATCAAAAAGTCCCTCACTGTAGGAAAACATGTACAGCCCGATACACACAGCCATAAAACCCACATACTGGGCCCCAACGCCATAGTAGTCGTGGTTTGAAAAGGCAACTTTATATCGTTGCGCAATGTTATTGTTGCGCAACCAAGTATAAAGTCAATAGTCTCCTCGTTTTAGTCTGTTCTATTCTAGGATTTTACACCAGACAGATCCAAACTGTCATCATTGCTCTTATAATACTGTGCTACAAGAGACAGTTTTATTATCTTATTTTATTAATGTATAAACTGTTGTCATTGAGTTTTATTGTTTAACTGATTTTCAAGCAGTTCAATTGAATGTCGCCCATTCACATTAAAGAATAAACCTAATCAAGCAATTATCAGCTGAAAAGAACGAACCTGTGTCCATTTCCTCCCACTCAACTCTATTCAGTGGTAAATCCCAGGTATTTGAACGCATCAACTTTTATTTCCTGTTCCCGTCACTCCCGGTCAAAAGTGCCAGACACACACTAGAAAAAGACCAAAATCAAAGACGGAAAAATCACTTTTCATTCAATTTATTTTGTTAGTTAATTTTCTATATCAGGTGAGGGAACAAAACAGTCACACGATGGTTTTCTTGAGCATAGATTTCAAAAGTCACAGTGTTTTAGACATGGACAAGAACAAAAAAACAAAAACAAAAACAAAAAAAAAAACAATGATAATGAAGAAGGAAGGGCTGAGAGGAAACTTTAAAACCAGGTGACACATTCCTACACACCTTCTCCTTCACGGTTCCTCAACTCTTTGCTCCAAAAACAAAATAAAAACGGCCTTTTGCTCTAAAGTGTTGCCATGCCCTACCTCCCTCCCATAGTCCCCCCCCAAAAAAACCCCAAACAAAAACAACAAACTCAGCAACAAATAGATATATTTATATATAATATATATTTACTCTTTAAAAATATAACTTCAGTCTAGATACTAACATCTGTACAAACTACAAAAATAAAATTTTAATATAAATAATTTATATGGCATGACATTAACAATTTTTTTGAAATAAACTACAAACTAATGCTCCCCCCTCGACCCCTCCGCTCCGTCTGACACCTGCGAGCAGTCACCTGACCGTAAATAGTGCTTTGCCTCGCCCGCCCTTGTTATTCACAAATGCAAAGAAGCGGCTGAACTGCTCTCTTTCATATTTACAGAAGAAAACCAAAGCTGCCACTTAAAAAATGAAATGATAAAAAGAAAAAAAAAAGATTGGCAAAATGTTTTCCCTGCATTTTAACCTGGCAGTGATGAGACCAATACTGAACGATAAAGAGGAACTCCAATCGAGAGATATGGATAATAGATGCCTAAATATTATTGAGGTTTGTACGGACAGGAAGTAGGACAGAGCAGTAGGACCAAATGGTTAGCAGAGGGATGTACACAAGCTTGAATGTGTCACCACCCCTGGAAACAACCAGAGAACAGAAAATGTTGCATTGTATTAAAATGATTCCCTTTCTAAATATAAAAAAAATGAAGATAAATGTAGCTTAATCCTAAGTGGAGTTGACGGCGAGAAACGGAAGATTATTAGTCATTGACCAGAACTTGAGAATTGTATGAGAAAAAAATCTTCCTACGGATGGACAGCTGTGACCGAACCTCCGAAAAAACACTGATGCAGGAACATAATACTGAGCTGTGAACGCTGCTGAACAGCAGACGAGCGATGGACTGAAGGCACTACGGTTACTCTGACGTTCAGATAAAACATCATCAGCTGCATGGAAAAATATTTGTTTACTCTGCTGTGTCTAAACCAAGCGCGCTGACGTGAGTGAGGAGGGGCAAAGGGGCTACTGCATTTTAAGGCAAATCACGTATGACTCTTTTGAAGTGTAGCAGCAAAAAAAAAAAAAAAAGTAAAACACTGACCATGTCTGTTCTATAGCCTGATATCTTATTAACATCGCACTTTTAAAAAAAATTCTATACACTGGCAGGAGAACGGGGGGGAAGTAACCCCGCCCCCCGCTCACCTAAAAATAATCTTTCACATCTGACCTTTTACACAAGAGTATACCCAATTTATACAGTACTCTTCTTAAATAGCTTCCCTCCTTTTTTAGTATTAAAATATATACTCATAGATTTATATCATATAACTCTTAAAACAAGTCCATTTGCTCTTTTTGTTTTTTTCTCTTGAAATAAAATCCACTCTGTGAAGTTGTATGTACAGTCACAAGAAAGAGTTCAAGGCAAGAAGATGTGACACCCCGTGAGGGTCAAGGTGCTCTGGGAAGCAGCCAGAGGTCTTTTTTGTTTTTTGTTTATAGTTAGAAGGCACAGGGTGACGGGTGGTCTAGCAGTCCTTAGCTATCTGGATCCTCAACCCACCTGGAGAAAAAACACAGAAATGAGAGAAAAATAAGTTAGACGTCACTGATATATGAAAGGAAACTGCAAGTGTCGTTCTTCAGTTAAAGGCATAGACTGTTAATAGGAAGTGGGTAAAGCCTAACTGCAGAATATTGTTGCAAACTGAATATTTAAGATTTAAGATATTTAAGACAAAACATTAATTCCAACACAGCTTCATGACAACTGTGTCCATTTTCTATATATGGTCTATGATTAAACACTTAAGTGTCCACAGATTCCTCTCTCACCTTGTGTCTTGCTGAGCTGATGCTGCGTCTGGCACTGCATGTCCTCCAGGTCCTGAATCTCTATAGAGGTTCTCTTACATGAAGAAAAGTTTGTTTTTTCACCGTAGGTCCTCTTAGCAGCCTCAAAACAGTTGGACTCACTGTCGGTGTCAAAACCTTCATGCATGTAGCCTTCGTACGCCGCTCCGGGCAAATTTGGATGTACCGCCACCGTCACAGAGGCCGTGGCCGTGACCATGGTCACTGCACCTCCGGTCGAGCCCTGCTGCAATGGCAAGGCGGAGGTGCTATTGTTATAGTTTGGCCCTTTAGTCCTGTTTGCCTGGGGCCCTCTGCTGTTCTGAATCCTGGGGCCGCTTGGACAAGTCCTCCCAGGAAAGTGAGCTCTGTCACTGGGTAAATGTTGGTTGGGCTGAGACCGGAGTCTCTGCAGGTCCTGCTGCTGCTGCTGCTGCTGCTGCTGCTGCTGCTGCTGCTGCTGCTGCTGCTGCTGCTGCTGCTGCTGCTGCTGCTGCTGCTGCTGCTGCTGCTGCTGCTGCTCCCGTGAGCCTCCATCCCAGCAGGTAACCTGGGACGGTGCGCTGTAGTTTGATTCATTTGAAGGTTCTATCCTCCCTCCAACGCCTGTCCCGTTGTCTTTGAACGGCTTCACCACCTACAACAAAGATATTTATTTTAATTTACCTGAACAAAGATCACAATTTTGAAGAGACCAAACACAACGTCTGTTGTTAACGGTGTGTCCATGCAACGTACCGTGAGCTTAGGGTAGCTGGGGTTCTTGCTGGCTTCCAGTAGTATGTGAGACGTAGCAGATGGAACACCAGCGTGAGATGTGATGTACGGGCTGCGGTCGCAGTACTTATAATCCACATCCCCGATACCTGAGGTGGTGGTAACCTCGGAGTAATACTCGGAGTCCGACGACTCGGAAAACGCATGCTGGCGGGTTGACCGTGGGTTGTGATGACCTGTGTAGTATCCATGGTGGGTCAGGGGTGGAGGAAGAGGCGGTTCAGGGGACGGCGTGGGAAGCCTGCTGGCGTTATTTGCTGGAGTGACCTCAGCTGAAGGCCCCATCATGGAGAGGAGGACGGGCAGGAGTACTAAGCCGTTCAGTATCCCCAACACAGTCAGGATGACCAGCACCGCAAAGAAGTACCTGGAGAGTAGAGAGAAACCCATTTAATACTGCTGTAAATAATCCTCCTTCAGGAAGACAAATCCTGACTGGACATTCTTCTGTTAACAAAACGAAACAAGACGTCACACACAGGGTTGGTACGTAAAGAAGAGAAGGCCTTAAAGTCTGTTTCCTACAACATGACTTGATGTGTAACATTTTGCTGCTTCAAGACATTCTATCAGTTGGGTTTATACATATGTGTGTGTTTGTCTTTTCTTTTAACTCATTTCTTTTTTCTTTTTTGTGTGTGCGTGCATCTCAGTGGAGCGCTGTGGAGGCCAGGGGTGGAGGCAGGCCACAAGAAAGAGCTCCCCAAGAAAATTAGAGAGGACTCCACTTAAAAACTAACAGAAAGCAAAAGAGAGAGAGGGAGGGAGAGAGAGAGAGAGAGAGAGAGTGGGATGTTAACCACCAGCCAGACTTAAAGACGTATAAGAAAATGGGAGGGAAAAAATGTGATTGATGGAATGAAGAAAAAAGGCAAAGGGATAATAGCGGCCGAGTGTTATGGAAACATGCCTCTCTGCACTGAATGAACAGTTTTACTACTACTTCACTTGACAAAGGACGCTCTTAAGGAAGAGGTCCCCGGTTTGAATGCTGGGTGTGATTCCATTTCAGCCCCCTGCTCTCTCTCTCAGACATTTTCCACCCCTTTCTTTTCAATCACTGTCCTTTCTTTCTTCTATTATCGCGGAAGGAAAATGCATGTTATGTTTGCCGGTTGTGCAGACAAAACACTCCCGGGAAGAGATTTTGAAACTTCTCTTGCCGTCTGCTCCGGCCACGACGCCTCTAAACAACAAACAGAACTGAACTGGCAGCGTGACAAGAAATTACACACAGGTTGTCTTTCTGGGACCTTTTTAGCACTCCTGACTGCACTACGTCAAACTTCATTTCTGTTTCTTTGTATGATGAAAAAAAAAAGCGAACGAGTCTTTGGGGAGACCTCCAACAGCGTCTCACTGTTAGGAATTCTGTTGTTTATATACACAGTAATCTTTTCCATTCGTTGTTAGGGCCTGGGGAGTTGTGTGTATGAGTGTGTGTGTGAGAGAGAGAGAAAGACACTGTTTAATGTTTACATGCCTGCACATATGTGCATTTTTCCATGTGTGTTTGTGTGCATATGTGCCCTGCATGTGTGTCGATGCCTCTTACGTGGGTGTGCGTGTGTATGTGTGCGTGTGTGTGTGTGTTGTGTGACTCTAAGCAGAGCTGAATTAGACGCGCTGTTTATTCAGTGCATTACAAGCACAGGAGATGTTTACAACTGTATATTTATGCTACTCCCCAGTTATTCAGCGCTGGCTTGCCCCATTCACCCGACCACAGCTAGAGCTAGAGCTAACCAAGACCTCCAACAGTCATACTAGTCCCCTCTGTCCCACCCCATCTGCTCACAATGACCTCTCTCACAAATATGTCAGAAAACCCCAAGCCAGCTTTGTTTTCTTTTTCTGTTTTTTTTTTTTTTTAAATTTCCCTGCATCGACACACGTCCACCTCTTTATTCTCTTCCTTCTTTGCACCACCGTGGACGACGCGTCCACCTACCCACAGGGACCTTAGATCCGTACATGTAAGCCACCCTCAGAGTAAACCCCCTCCACTCTCAGCTTCTGTCTTTGTTTCTGCACAAAACCGTGCTTTTTATGTCATGAAGGCCTGTTGCAGTCTGTGAGCTCAAGGTTGTGGTTTCGGGTTTGGGCCGAGACCGCATTCGGCTGAAAAACATTGAGCTATTTGCCTATTTTTTTTCCACTCTGTCCATGAAACAGTGCTAGAAAGCCCATACGCACACACATACACACGCACACGCACACACAGAGAAACTGCAGAGACTGGACTGGTGTGTTGGTGGGCTTCACACCATCTGAGGGGCTGACCAGTTCAAATTTAGCCCCTCTTTTTACAACAGCACCTTACATGGTGGGAGGGAATGCCAAACGGATGACAGGAATTTTTACAGATTCCCTCGTGTGTGTTTGTGTCTGTGTGAGAGAATTGGTGAGAACGAGGCGGAGAGAGACACCACCCAGTGGGCAGCAGAGCACTTCCATGTTTACGAGCAGCTGCTACACACCCTTGATGTTTTCCCCATTTGTTGTGCTCTGAGGCTATGTAGACGGATGTGTGTGTGTGGGTGTATGTGCACGCAGGTGTGTGTGTGTTTGTGAGTGACAGAACCAGGTGCATATTTGTCACTCAGTGTGTGTGTGTGCATAAATAGGGGTTTAACATTACCACCTGCATGCACCCCTGACCCCAAACAGTCCTCTTCCTGTTCCCAGGTGAGGTTTGACCCAAACACTGCTACTTGTTAATGTGTCGCTCTTTCTCTCTCGCTCGTAGGAAAAGAAGCACTCATCCAAAAAAAATATCAACTGCATTTTACGAAGATCTACACACACACACACACATATCTCACCTCACTATGAAGTCAAACTCAGATCCTGCCAGCATGAGCACACCCAGCAGCGTGGAGATCGCTCCGTCAACCACGGGAGCAAACATGTGCTCCAGAGCCACCGCCGAGCGCTTGTTTCTGTTGCCAATCGCTGTCAGGAAGCCCTGCAGCAGAAGGGGAGGTTGGGGAAGGGGGGAGAGGAGAAATGAGTTGGAAATCTTGCCGATCACACAAAAGTTGTGCTTGCGGCGAAAGCTTGGCAGGCACCAGAATTCCTGCCTTTGGTTTTGTTAGGGATTGCTGTGCTGCACTACAAGACTAAACTGTGCTACGGAGCTGCCAGCAGGAACCAGGAAGCCAAACGCTTCCTAGTAAATCTTTAATCACACTTATTTCACCTTAATCACTTTCCATTTAGACCGAGGCTGCAGGAGTCGCTGCTTTGCTTCGCACTGAAAAACTACAGTGTTTGCACAGCGTTGCTGGCTACTACACATTCTTTTACAGGGAAACTATATTTTATCAATTGCTGGATATAATTCATACTTGGTTGGTGTAATTTCTCTCAGTAAATCTGTGTGTGGCTTAGCCAAGTGTGTGTTGACTCACCAGTGCAATGTGAACCGTGAACTCCACTCCAATGCCCACAGAGGCAATCAGAATGACCACAGGGATGGCACTCAGCTTGATGCCAATCAGACCCATGATTCCAAACAACTCCACCGTCATCATGCCCAAAATAAACACCTGAAAGGAAGACACGGAAACTTGAGCATGTTTTGAATGTCGGCGTAAGAGAAACGGCAGGACGGCAGGGAAATAATTAAAAACAAAACGGGCATACACGCAAAAAAGGGAAATGTCTTTCTTCAGAGGCTGAGTAAAGCACTTTTCCACTTCACCCTACGAAATAGTTTGACTCTGTATTAATGACCACATGGCATCAAGTTACAACCTCAAGGCCAACCCACCGATGCCTATATTGTGGTTGAAATGATTAAAAATGCCTGTCAATGCTATCAAGCTAAATTTATGCTCTTGAGTCACTGCTAGGAAGAGAAAAAAGAAAATCTTGTTCGAGGCTTGTTTAAATACTTCTGCCATTTGTAATGCAACAGCTTAGCAGTGACGTGTTTACTTTACAAATGCCTTATGGTAAATGTGTAGCGTTACTGTAAAACCAGGCTAACAACACGTCTTAGGAAACAAGAATGAGAAAACCGTTCCCCGAGTGAAGAAGGCTTTTGATCCCAGCAGGAGCTTTGGGCTGAGGCACAGTTAAATTGGAAATGATAAAAGCCGTTTTACTGCCGACTGGCAGCCGGATGCTTAGAAACCATACGTACACGTAGCTGTGTCTTCAGTACTCTCCAGTTGGACCAATACTTAAATTAAACACATTCCAACCTAAACTGGTACTGTTGTTGTGCTACACTTCAGCCCCCCCACCAGCCAGGGATGTGTAGATCTTTGCACATGTGTGTGTGTGTGTCTGGGGGGCCCTTGAAGACCACCAGCCCCATCAGCTTTATTGTATAAGGCTTTCTAAAGCTTTGTTTTCTCTAATTTCACTCTCTCTTCTTTTAATCCATGTCCCTGTCTTTCTGTCAAATGTTTCCCTCACAGACTCACACACTCACACACACACCGTAGGTGAGTTGACTACCCCAGGTTTCAACTATACTATCCTGTCCCCAGGTCTTTTCCTGAGAGAGTTTGAAGCGGAGACTTCAGAAGGGCAAAGTTTTTCTAACTCCTTTGCATTTCCTTTACTGAGGCCGACCTAGCCTCTATTAGAATGACAAAGGTTCCCGTGTGTGAGAGTGAGAAAGAAAGAGAGAGAAAAGTGTGTGTGTGTGTGTGTGCATAGTAACCCTCCACAGAGAAAAAGGGGCCCCCTAGAAAGCGTTATTGAGCTGTGATGAGAAGGGTGAGAAGAAAGTAGGAGGAAGAAGAGCGGAATGAAGGGGTAATAATGTTGTTGAGGTAGGGCCAGAAGGAAAACATAAAACAGATATAGAGAGAAAAAAAATCAGAAAGGCTGATGAAGACTTTGTAAAGAATCCAAATATATGCTTACAATGATGCCAGCAGTCCAAGGGTTGAGCAGGAGAATGGCACAGACCAGGAAAGTGCAGGCCAGAACCACGCTGATGGCCAGCAGAAACCAATGTCTAAGCCCGATGTACTGCTCCCAGAACAGGAATGGGTATCCGTTAGGGTAGTTGAAGACTCCCTTTCGGCTAAACTCGTCACAGATGGCCCGCACACTCTCAATGGCCTCCACAAAGTCACTCGCCTGACGAAGACCATTGAGGTAGAAGGGAAACTGGGCGAACTCCAGAGGCTCTGCCGCCGGGACTGCAGGAGGAAACAGAGCGTTATTAAAATCACGTTAACTTTACTTCAAAGTATAAACATATCTTCAACAAAGGTAATCCACTTACTGCGCAGATTCTCTCCTGTGGTGTCATACTTGTCGTAAATCCACTCTCTGGGACGAGGGCAGAAATTTGCCTGGGAGGCAGCGTAGCCCAGAGGATCATTACTGACCCAGACTGTCAGGTAAATGTAAAAAACCTCAGCAGGGACCAGACCCTCTGCGTCTATCAGTCGGCGAGAGATCAGCTGGAGAAAAAAAAAAGTGCCAAAATGAATAAAAATCATTTATGTAGTAGCTCACAAGGCCACACACCCTGTTCTGTTGAAGAGCATGTGGATTCTGTTTTTAAGCTCTCTGACATACCTGGCTGTAGTTAAAAGGCTCTTTCTTGGAGCCGGTCTGGATGAGGAGCTTGTACGCCAAAGCTCCGTCCTCTGTGCCGTTACGATAGCTGTCAGCTGTAATCCGTCCTGCCTGCCAGTCGGCATCGAAAGAAGCCTGGAGACCTGAGAGTGAGAAAAACACAGCCAAAAACAAAGATGTTATCATGGGTGGCAATGATAAATATTATAATAAAATGATATTCCTGAATTTGACATTATGTTATTTCTTCTTCTGTCTCTTTTACAGTCCATGTGGTTCTGATCAACCTGCTGGCTATTACTTCCTCCTGAGTAGCCCTCTGACAGTTCTGTGCTTGAGGACACACACACACATAACTAAGCAAAGATAACCTCTCACCCCTGTAGGGCAACCTGTCTATTGCACGGCAGCTAAGCCCCGGTGTGTGCTGAAGAAGCCTGACTCAGTTGTGAACTTTTCTTCACCCTTCTCAACACCAAACACTTAAGCTAGTCCTTAGTAAATACTACACCAGAGATTCTGATATCACTGCTGAAACACTCCAGGGCAAAGAGTTACTACATTTAAAAAAAAAAAAAAACACAACTCTCACCTCTGAGCCAGTCATAGAAGTAGTGCAGCCACATGCGGGGCAGTTTGTTGTCGCTGCCTCTGACCACGTATTTTACAGAGTTGAAGGCGTTGTGCAGCTGGATCAGCAGCCTCTGCGAGCGGGCGTAGTCAAATCCATCCATGGTAACCAGATACATGTTGTAGAAGGAGAAATACTTGAACTGGGCATCGATGAAATCATATTCCTTGGTATCCCGTGGCACAATGTCGGTCAGGTAGAGGCCGTCGTGCACCATTGTGGTTCCGTACAGACTGAGGCCCAGCAGGCCCAGGAAGAGGATCACCACTATAGCTTTGCTTTTTGGCTTCAGGAGTAAAGGGGCATATTTTTCTCTGGCGAAGGTGGAGAGATTCCAGTGCATGAAAGGGAGCGGGACGCACTTCTTCCCTGATTTAGAGTCCTCCACCTGGGCTAGAAGGTCTCGTGTGGAGCTGGAGGTAGGAGTGAAGAGCTGGGAGCCATAAGGATCAGGCACTGAGGTGGAAGAGGGCGAAGGTGTGAGCGCTGGTAAATAACACAGGCAAAAAATTATTTTCTTTGATGATTTTTATGATTTTGTTGAACAAAATAGAACTCCAAGAAGAACTGTGAATTTACCTTGAGCTTGGGTTGTGGGCCGCAGGATGATAGAAGGTGGGCTGGTGGAGATCTGGGAGGTAGGTGGTAAAATAGTCACAATATGTTGACCCGCAGCGTCGCATTGCGTGAATGCCTGCACGGTGGTGGTGATCTGGGTACTGGTGGTGATTGTGGACCCTCCAGAGTACTGGTGCGCATGTGCGGTGGCTGTTGTGGGCGTATGCGGCTGCTCCCCGGCGTCAGACAGTTCTTGGGGAGACAGCTGGATGACGCGGTCTGAGCACGGGCTGTACAGACAGCAGAGGACGTCCAAACGCTTGTCCTCGCGTCGGTGGAGGTCCAGACTGAGGATAGCGGGGAAGATGAGCAGCACCATGGCGAAGTTGAACACAACCACAATGGCCGCCTGCAGATAGAATTACAAAAAGGAAAAACAAAGTGAGAAAGGACATGGAGCAACATGTGAAATTACAGGCACTCTGTTCCAGCAAGAATTAGACTACTTCTGTTTCTTCCTTTTTCAGTCATTCAGACCGCAGCCCAAAAAGTAAAGGGAGGCTTTACTACAGAAAGAAGAGAGAGGAGGGAAATAAAGCAAAAAAAAAAAAAACTCCCAGAATTAGTAGAAAGAACGAGTGAAAGAAGCTGTTGGTGATGGTGGTGAAGAAGGACAAATATGTAACGAGTCCCAGCATAACCATCGGCCTTCACCACCACCACCGCCCCATCCACTACAGCCCCCCAAGCTGACACACTAACAGGCTGTGGTTTCCACTCTGTACATGTCTATGAGTGTGTACCAGCGTGCGTGTGTGTGTGTGTTTCAGACCACCCACAGTTAGTCACAGATCAGAGCAAACCTCCTCCGAGGGGCCAGAGATAAACTGAGCCGGTTCTGCTTCCTCCGCCTCTTCTTGGTTCCTTCCTGTCTGATTCTTTCTGTCTGTCTCTCTGCTCTCATTGTTTCATATACATATATACGTACTGCAGTGATAAAATAAGGATCGAAGATCCTGGAATAAATGTCACCAGCTCTAAGTTATATCTTTCATGTTCATAGGAGCCCCTCCAAACCTCTTGGTGAGTGATTGTGTACCTCGTGTGTTATCTACGTCTTCCCAGTGTCTCTGCGTTACGTACCTGCAAAGAGAACGCTCGCAAAGCAGGGATGGGCACAAGAGCGGCCATAAAGAATGCAATCATGTTGTTGAGGGAGGTCAGAGCCACACTCGTGCCGGTGCGACGCAGACAGTCTCCTGTTCGCTCCTTTGAAACAAAACACAGACACAGGTCAGCCATAGGGGGGAGACAACAAGAGGAGAGAAAGAAGAGGAGAGGAGATTTAAAAGATACCTTGAGTGGAATGTTACTTCCAGCTTCTGTGAAGGAGTGAGCCAACAAAAACATGTCATCCACACCAATGCCTAGAGCCAGGAAGGGAAGAACCTGGGGGAGAAAAACACAAGAACATGAATGAACAATCCCAGTGTGTGGCATCACAACGTGTTCTCCAAATCAACACCGTCCTGTTCAGGGTAACATACCTGTGTGGTGGCAGCATTGAAGGACAAGCCCATCAGGGAGCAGAGACCCAGTCCTGCAGCCACTGACAGCGCCACCAACAGCACCCCGGCCAGCCCCACGGCCCCCTGGGACTTGGCACAGTCCCATCTCAGCATGGTCACACAGGCATAAGCCAGCTAGAAAAAAGAACATCGACGTTAACTACTTTTACAGTTTCACGATCGTCGCCTCGTAAGTCTTGAGTAAATCAGTGCACTCACCATGAGAAGGTATCCTCCGGCCACCCTGATGACGCTGACGTCAGAGAAGGACTTCATGATGTCGTTGAGGGTGGTGGTGGAAAAAGCGTGGATGGATTGGCTGGAGTTTGTGGGAATACTCTGATGGACCACCTGTGAGACGGGAATTATTTGAACGTTAACAGAATGAACCCAGTTTTTAGAAAAACTGTTGCTACAATGCTTTTAAAATAATACAATGATATGAATTTAAAGTCCTGTTATATTTGTGATTATATGTGATTTAAGTCCTCCACTGTAGCTTCCTCACATGTTTAGAACAAAAACATTTTTTTTCCCTCTAAAATGTCTATGTATGTGTGTGTGTGAAAGTGAGTATGGATGCATGTGTGTGTGTGCTTTTCGTGTGCTGGAGTTTGTGTGCGCGTATGACAACTGAGGAGTAATGAGCACAGATGCCAGAGGTTGCGAGGTCATAGGTGAAAGGGATGGGATAGCATGGCCGAGCAGCTTTCGCTCCTTACTCTGTGCCAGGAATGGGCCGAAGCTCCCCGAGGCAATTTAGCAGTTAGCATTTCATCACCATTCATTACTATCCGTAATAGATCTGCTTTTATTCTTTAATGTGTCGGGAGAGAGGCACGCTGTGTGTCTCTCTCAGTTTACGTTTGGGTCTGTTTCCCCTTCTTCCATTTCATGTCCCTCACTTTGCTCCCTCCCTCCTGCCTTACCCTCACCATGGTGGGTGTCAGCTATCACAGCAACAGCTTGTTCCTATAACTAGGGCTCTGACAGAGAGAGATGATTGACCTACCACACACATTCACTCACACACACACGGACGCATCTACATGCTTACTGCCCTGTGGTTCCCTTTACAATGGAACTGAAGACTGATGGAATTCAGACATGGCAGGATGAGTGTGTGTATTTCAGTGCGTGTGTGTACACCAAAGCAAAACAAGGCTGCATAGGGACAAGGGAACGCCTACTCGGTTTTCTTGTCCTCCCTTTGTACCCTCAAAATTTTAATGCACATTAAAAATGTTGTGTCCATGCTCACACCTCCACAAATTTCCTCTGCCACATCTCGAGGATAGCAGTGGCCTTCTCTTCGTTCCAGTTGATGTCATGGATCTCGTAGTCGTCTTTAAAGTGCTCATACAGCTGCGTAGGGCTCATCAACAGGAACATGGTTTGGAGAGCCTCCGCGCTGCAAAGGAACACAAAGGTAGGATGAGGAAACATCACAGACCTCAGACTGTTTTATTGTGTGCTCAAGCAGAGTTGAAAGCTCAAATGTATCATCCAGCTCAAGTTTCACATTAAGAATCATTCATGTTGACTGTTTAAATGCTCTTGATGTTCCTAAACCTCGTTCTCATTCTCTTCTGTGAATGGGTAAAAGCAGGTGTCGTTATTTCAGGATTTGTCTGCCGGCCTGTCTGCCAACGTAAACAGCCCAAAGCAGGTGTTATCTAGACCGTCTGTCTGCTGATCTCCCGGCTGTAATCCCAGATGTCCTAAGATTTTCTTGGCAAGCCGAGCTGATGTTCAAAAATACTGTATCAAAGACGTGATCGTAAATCACATCCAAGGAATAAATGCGGTTCCAGCAGATGGGATTGAAAATCCTTTTCCGTTGGACCTGCATGGGTCATGATCCGGGCTCTGACACAATCCTGCCACTTTTATATTGAGCATGAAATTAAATCCAGTTTTGTTTAATAGGATAACAACAATGTGGGATACCTTTAAAATTCATTTTTCCCCCGTTCTATCCTTTCTTTGGTCATTCACAACAAATGTTTAGCAGAGTAAGAGACGTTTCTGTGTCTGTCAGCCATCTTTAATTGGCCTATCCTGGATCAGGGTCATGCAGCAAACCGATCCAGTACGAGGCATTCAGGGCATGTGCCTATTGGGTTGTTGGAGGTTACAGATTCCACAGGCCAAGCGCCTCATAAGCTGATGGATGGACTAGCTGCCTGCTCAGCTGGTAGTGATCACACAACCACTACCCCCGCCCTGCCCCCCAATATTGTTACATCCTCCAATAAGACACGGACAAATTTATGACAAGTTGCGTAAAATCTTCCTACGCTGCTGGCTTCAGCCTGTTAGAGAAACATTCTTTATCAAAGACACACCTCAGCAGTATATCCTGGCTGTTTTTGACCAGACCACCAAGGATCAGGTCCTCCTGCCAGTGCATGAACTTCCGGCTGAAGCCATGGCAACCACCCTGGAGATGCCTGGCAATGTCAGGACTCTGAATGGAAGGAGGAAAAAAACGGCAGACAAAAACATCACTCGTTGTTCATGGTGACATTTTTTGTGTTATTTTTCACAGTTGATCTGTTCACATAACTTTGAAAATTGTATTCTTGCATAGACTTACATCTCCTTTGTCTTTGTTGGGTGCACTGAGAGGGCAGTCTGGATCGGCGGGATCAAGACAGGATCTGTTCATATAAGCGTGGCCCACCTTAACAAGTCAAAATGAACAACCGTTTAGGAAAACAAATCTTCAATAGAAAAATGATTTCATTTGTCGTCACATATTTCGATGACTTACCTGAGCTTTGTCCAACATCTCCTTGAATCCCTCCAGTGACGTATACTGACTTAATTCCTCCATCAGCTTGACTGGATCTAGATTCATCCACTGAATGTCTGGCATGCCCCTGCAGAGCAAAGACACATCTGATGAAATAGCATGTAAGGGAGGCTTCAACATTTGCAGCCTGTACGGCTTAAAGGAGCTTTGCATTCCCGCTAATGTTTAATCTGTGCAGACAAAAACGCTCAGTTCAGTTTACATCTTAGTCCGCGTTATGCTGGGCTGCACAAGAACAGGCCATAGCTGCAGATACAGGATAAAATAGCGTTTATCATCCTGTTTCACGCTGCCACAATGCATGTGGAAAAGCCTGTGTGCTTCCATTCCTCAATGCCCTGCACCGAGTCATAACAATTACCTTTGCCTCACAAACATCTTGATAAGGGAAGGGAGAGAAAGGCAGAAGTTGGGTGGATGGAAGAGTGTTTAGGAAATAGGTGAAGAAAAAGGAGTCTGCTTGATACTGAAGGAGCCGGAAAAGCAGTCCTGTGATAACACATCGAACAGATTAGGCTGTTCACAGAGAACAGCTGAAGTCTGATAAGTCACTAGTTTGCTCTTCCTCAGCAGGTAAAAAGGCTGTGGGTTCAGTGAACACACCTTCACCTTCAGGGTGTTCCCTCTTCCCACACACCACACTCCTTTATCAGCCTGTGTTTGCTTGAGTGAACTGGGCCTGGGCCCTTTTGTAGATTGCTCATAGATTGCTGACCATTGTTCTCCCAAACTCATACTCATCCTCATTCTCTTTGCCAACTTTCCCATCGCCTGTCCAATCCCTTCTATTTCTTCATTTCTAACTATGTTGTAAAAAAAAAAGGGTTAACGCAAAGTTGAAGACACTCATGTCAGTGACCACAAGTTCCCCCCACTTCTCCGAGTGAAAAACTAGTCGAAAACAATTAAAAAAAACCAGATGTTTGTGTGATTTACAGGAACACACTTGGAGGACATGTGAATCTTCAAACGAAACCCATCACCCTCTCTGTTGACGTGCGTTCACAAAAGCCAACTGGGAGATGCAAAGAATGGGAAACTTGTTTGTTTCTGAACTCGCTGGCTTGTCATGCAACACACTGCTGTCAGCCCTCGTCAGGAATATAAACAAATAATCTGTTTGCAAAGAAACATCTGCGATGATCTAAACTGTATTTTATAAACTGAGGGCTCCACTGAAATATCAGTGCTGGAGATGAAGAAAAAAGAAGTCTTTCAGCGACTCCGTGTCGCACAAGAACTTCATAACCCAAAGAGGTTAAAGGAAAAACAATCAATCTATGAAATGGCCCCAAATATGCCCAGTCCGCACTGTTAACTGTCTTGTAGCCTCTCTCCGTCTTTCTCCAGGGACTTGAGACTTGAATGCTGCCCATTTTATTTGTTGGACAACTTGGGAGCTGGGAGCCCAGGGCATTACCATGAGAATGCGAGAGTGTTAGCCATGAGCTGACAAAGCGGCCCCCCCCCTCCACTGCGTCCTCCGGGGCCCCTGCACTGATGGACACTCACTCGTAAACTGAAAGAATGCTTACCATTGTCTGAGCCAAAGGGCTCCCCTGCCACCTCCACCAACACCACCGCCGCCTCTCCGCCCTCCGTCCTACCAGCCCACCATCCAGTTGCTGCTGCTGCTGCTGCAGTCATCTGCACCTTTTCTCTCTCTCTCTCTCTCTCCCTGCCTCACTTTCCCTTTTTGAATTTCACTGTCCCCCCCCTCCCCCAGTCCCTCTCTGGGCCTAAAAAGAACTCTATTACTGACCGCTGCTGTCCGTCACAACACCCACTGACAGACCACTGAAAGCCCAACTGTATGTCTCCATCGAGCATGTGCTAAAATGCATGGATTCCCAAAGTCAGATGGAAGCGATGAAAAAAGGGAAGGCAGAAATATTTAATAAGGAAATACTTACGGTAAATAGGCGGAGCCTCCCTGTAGTTTGGCCCCTTCCCAAAAACAGTCCAACGGAGTGATTAT